GGCATTATTATTATTAAAGGTGATGGGCTAGTGCTGCCACACCCAACCAGTAAAAAAAAGTCTGAGAGCGGGCTCCGTTTGCCACAGACACCTTGTCTCTCTTGCCTCTAGTCTGGTAACAAGAAGGCAGTTCCATCAGGGAAGCCAGATACGGCCCGGGGAAGCTCTAGTTGCTGACCCCGAGTTATAAGACTTGAACAGGGAACTGACGTAGGCTTAGTTAGTGGGAATGCTGACCTTTAAAGCCTTAAAGCCGGCGCGATTCCAACTTGCCCTACCTGGGCAAGATAATAGAGAGGGCAGTGGCAATTCAGTTACAGGACTTTTTGGATGACGCTTCCATCTTGGACCCCTCCCAGTCCGGTTTTCACCCGGATCACGGGACGGAGACGGCACTGGTCGTCCTCACGGACAACCTCCGAAGGCATCTGGATCGAGGCGGATCAGCAGTGCTGTTGTTGTTAGACCTGTCGGCTGCGTTCGACACAGCCGACCATCAGCTGCTGATCCACTGCCTTGCTGACACTGGAGTCCAGGGACTAGCCTTGCAGTGGCTTGCCTCCTTTCTCCAAGGCCGGGGACAAAGAGTGGTGCTAGGGGATCAGCTGTCCCAAAGGCACCCATTGGAATGCGGAGTGTCTCAAGGGGCACTGCTGTCCCCAATGCTTTTTAACATCTATATGCACCCTTACCCAGACTGCCCGGAGGCATGGACTGGGTTGTCACCAGTATGCACAGTATCTGTTGTTGGGCAGTCAGTCCGACTCCAAACCGGAAGACCTAGACCAGGCGTTACAAGCTGTGGCTGGTTGACATAGGCTGAGCTGGCTGAAATTGAATCCGACTAAGACAGAAGTCCTGTGCCTGAGCCAGAGCAGTGCGAGGGTAGGGATCCCGCTCCCGACCTTCGATGGGGCACCAATGGTGCCAGCGCTGGAGGTTAGGGGTATGGGAGTGCTCCTGGATGCCTCAATGCTTTTTAACATCTATATGCACCCTTACCCAGACTGCCCGGAGGCATGGACTGGGTTGTCACCAGTATGCACAGTATCTGTTGTTGGGCAGTCAGTCCGACTCCAAACCGGAAGACCTAGACCAGGCGTTACAAGCTGTGGCTGGTTGACATAGGCTGAGCTGGCTGAAATTGAATCCGACTAAGACAGAAGTCCTGTGCCTGAGCCAGAGCAGTGCGAGGGTAGGGATCCCGCTCCCGACCTTCGATGGGGCACCAATGGTGCCAGCGCTGGAGGTTAGGGGTATGGGAGTGCTCCTGGATGCCTCCTTAACAATGGAGGCCCAGATAGCAGCCACTGCCAAGTCAGCCTTTTATCATCTCAGGCTGATTAGGCAGTTGGTTCCCTTCCTCGAATGCAATGACTTGGCGACAGTGATCCACGCGATGGTCACCTTGAGACCGGATTACTGTAATGCCCTCTACATGGGACTGCCCTTGTCTCAAATACGGAAGCTGCAGCCGGTGCAAAATGCCACGGAATGACCTCCCGGAGGAAATCAGGGCCCTGCGGGACCCGTTGCAGTTCCGCAGGGCCTGTAAGACGGCACTCTTCCGCCAGGCCTTTGGAGCCGCCGCCACTACTGACACCTGATAGCCTACGACGAGAGAGCCCTGATCCCCTGCATCCTCCAACCACTGCCCAAACTGATCGCCCAGGATAACCGAAGATGATCAAGGAACTGACTGTATGATGAGGAAACTAAGCACGAGCACTTTATTATATTATTATATTTACGGTTTTAAGAATTCTTGTGTATTAACGGGTATTATAGTTGATATTACATTGTTTTTATGTAAGCCGCCCTGAGCCAGCCTCGGCTGGGGTAAAAACCTAATAAATAGATAAATCGGCCGGGAACCGACATCTCTACAGGACCGCCTCTCCCCATATGTGCCCCGGAGAGCCTTGTGCTCTGCGGATAGCCCTCTGCTGGTTATCCCCCAACCCGATAGATGCCCACCTAGCCTCTGCCAGGGCCAGGGCTTTCTTGGCCACAAGTTCTCTCGGAGCTGTTCTCTCAGGAGCACTTCTGGAAAAAGCTCTCTCCTCACAGGGGGTGTCTGTTGTGGGGAGGGGAAGGGAAAGGAGTTTGTAAGCCGCTCTGAGACTCTGAGTGAAGGGTGGGGTATAAATCCAATCTCTTCTTCTTCTTCCCTTCTTCATGGTATGGTGGTGGTTAGAGGGTCAGATTAGAACCTGGCAGGCCCAGGTTTGAATCCCCACCCCGCCATGGAACCCTCCTGGCTGCCCTTGCCAGGTGGAACATGCTTCCAATTGAGATCAGGGCCCTGCGAGACCTGTCACAGTTCTGTAGGGCCTGCAAAACACAGCTGTTCCGCCATGTCGCTGGCTGAGGCAGCGAGCACCTACCAGCTGGCCTCCCCACTGAATACACTGCACCGCCCGCTTTAAATGCTTTACATTGGTTTTATTGTATTGATTTAATAGCGTTCTTTCTTATCTGACTGAATTACTTTAAGATGGTATCGAATTTATTGTGGCGAGCCACCCTGAGCGTGCTTGAGGGAAGGGTGGGATATAAATCGAAATAATAAACGAATAAATAAACGCTGAGTGAATAAATAAATAAAGGCCAGGATCGGTGACGCGTGCCCATGTGACATCACATCTGTGCATGGCCTTTGCACAGGTAAGGCCTTTGGGGCTCACTATAGCATGGGCCTGAGGGTTTTCTGGAAGGACAGCCTTTCAATAAGGATACTCTTAATTCAGAAGTGTATACAGGAGCCCAAAATAAAAGATGGTACTGCCGATGCAACTAAGGGGGTTGTACTTTTGACTGGTGCTATTCATTCCCACTCCACGACCTCTCCTAGAGTAAGAGGGTCCTTACACCAAATTGCATCCTCTCAGGGGTCATTTCGCAGAAAGAGAGGTGCAGGCGCTTATTAGCATAACTCATTTGCATATGCCACACACCCTGACATCACCGGAAGTGTGTCAGAAGGCAACACCCAGTGCTCAGGCTCCACTGGACTGGTTTCCTGCGATGGGGGGGGGGGGGGAACGTGCAGATCTGCCCTCACAGAGGAGGGAGAACTTGTACCTGAATAAAACGGTCTTAAAACTGCCACTGGACTGTTTTGGTTTCCAATGGGGGGGGGGCGGGGGAAGCTCTGCAACTTACCTGGCTGCTTCTTGCTCCTCATGGCCCGGGGCTGCTGGCAGCAGAGGGCAGGGCTTGTTGCATGTGCCCACCCCCCTGGGCTCTTTACTGCCGGAGCTCCACTCCTGTGCACTCCTGCAGGAAATGACCCCTGCATCCTCTTAATAGCACCACTTGGTCTCCAGATTTATCTGCTATCAGCTGTGTAAGGAAAGGGGCGCTATTCAAGAAGCCATCCTCAAAGTCCACCTGTATCGGATTTCAGCTCATGTTATGTATTTTAAAGGGGATTTAAATATATTCGTTTAGAGACGCTCCTGTCCTGATATCAGCAAGTTGCAAGCAAGTTGCAAGGAAGCCCCTCTGTAGCCACCCGTCCTTAACCCCTCTGCTTTAGAGATTCAGCTCTAAACAGCTTTGCGGTTTCCAAGACGCCATTCAATATCTCACGAGCCAGCAAAAGAAATTCAATCACTAGTCTCAGCGCCCGATCCACCAGGAAGCTGTCTGCACGCAGCCTGCTGAAACGAAAGACAGCTGTACAGCAGCAGGTTCATTTTCACAAGGCTGTGTGCAGAAGACATTCTGGGTGGACTGGATCTTGGAGCTTTTACAGCACGCCAGCCAACATTTCTCAGATGAAATGAATTAATTTCATTTGCATTACGTGAGGTTGTGAATGCAAGCCAGCGCAGCACAGTAGGTAAGGGGTCAGATTTGGACAAGGGAGACCGGCGTTCAAATCCCCATTCAGCCTTAAACATCACTCGGTGACCCTTGGCTAGTCTCCCTCTCTGTCTAACCTCCCTCACAGGGCTGTTGTGAGGAACTTTAAGAATTTTACAGTCAGAGTTGTGCAGCAGTGGAATGGGCTGCCTAGGGAGGTGGTGAGCTCCCCCTCCCTGGCAGTCTTCAAGCAGCGTCTGGACAAGCACTTGTCAGGGATGCTCTTGCCTGATCCTGCACTGAGCAGGGGGTCGGACTAGATAGCCTATATGGCCCCTTCCAACTCTGTGATTCGATGAACAGAGAGGAAGGAAACCAAGGACTCTACCCTCAGCTCATTGGAAGAAGGACAGAATAAAAATGCAAGGAAGAACAAACAAGCTGCCCCTATTGGGGGGGGGTCGGGTCGGGGTCTTTCTAGTTGGGTCACCCATGCCAGACATTTTAAAACGATTGATTGAAAGAAGCCAGTGCAACAGACAAGTTTGACAGAGGCCCAGGGAAACGGCAATACCTGAATCAGAAACTCATCTATCAGAATCACCATGCAACACTTTTCCTGCTACGTATAAAATGCTTTCTTTTTTACATTTAGGTTGCCATGCACTGTATCCCCCCTCCCCCCAAACAGTAACGATTTTACAGATTCTCAGATCCTGGAATATAACGAGGAGAAGTTCTAAGCAGTGTTCCCTCTAAGCTGAGTTGGTGTGAGCTAGCTCATAGTTTTTTAGCCTCCGGCTCACAGATTTCTGTCTCAGCTCAGGAAGGAGGGCTCCAGAGCAAACTAATTTATGCAGTAGCCAAATTGCTCGCTGACAACTTTAATGCCAGGAGCTCAAAAAGTAGAATTTTTGCTCACAAGACTCCACAGCTTAGAGGGAACATTGGTTCTAAGACCTGAGTTTCAAAGCAAAAAGAAGGATCATTAACACAAAGCCCCAAAAGAATGCAAGGGCTCCAAAACAGACCCCAAATCGGTTGCCGAGTGCTGCAGCCGGCCCATATACAGAGTGCAAGTAAATATCCCAGGCAGAACGCACGGAAGGGGAGGGAGTGGGGGAAAGAGGCTGCCGCCCACCCCGGCACGGGCAGGCCCGCGATCCCCGGCCTCGATTAGAGGGGCTTACCGGCCGGCCTGCTGCTGCTGCTGCGACTGCTGCGGGTGGTGCTGGAGGAGATGCTGGAGCTGCAGCAGCTGCTGCTGGAACTGCTGCTGGTTGAACATGGCCGAGGGAGCCCCGAGGCGCTGCGCGGATCCTGGGACACAAAGAGGAGAGCGAAGGGAGACCCGCGGGCCCGGGAGGAAGGGGCTGGCCTCGCCCGGCGCCTGCAGCTCAGCCCCGCGAGCAGCCTTCCCGGGCGGCCGCCGCTGCTACTGCCCCGCGCCGGCTGCGGGACTCCATTCATTCCTGCCGAAGCCGTCCGCCCTCCGCCTTGCCCCCGGGGTCAGCCGTGGCGATCACGAGATACCCGGGGGCGGGGGGTGCGCGCAGAGGCGTTCCCACCCCTGGAAGAAACCTGCGACACGCAGATCACACAAACACACACTCACACACACACGCCCTCTCTCCAAAGCCGAGTTGTCATTGCAAAAGGGAAGGCAGTGCTTCCCCCTTTGCCAAAGCAGGAGAGTTGTTATTTAACATCTCGGGTGTTTTAGACTGGCATGGAGAGCAGTGTTCCCTCTAAGCTGAGTTAGTGTGAGCTAGCTCACAGTTTCTTAGTCTCCGGCTCACACATTTTTGTCTTAGCTCAGGAAAGATTGCTCCAGAGCAAACTAATGTATGCAGTAGCCAAATCACTTGCTCACAGCTTTAATACTAGTGGCTCACAAAGTAGATTTTTTGCTCACAAGACTCCACAGCTTAGAGGGAACATTGATTAGCTTTCCTTCCTTCTTCTTCTTCTTCTTCTTCTAAGTGCGTGTGCCATTGCTCTTCTCCCAAAACCTGGAACTGTGTTTTAAATTTGCTCCTCCTAAATGTGAACAATGACTCTCCCCGGGTTTCTTCTTTTTCTTTTATTGTACCCTTCTCCATAGGGGGAGGGGGGTGGTATTTTAAATGGGATGATTTATAAATGTTCAGGATCGATGCTGTGGAGTCTTCTGAGCAAAAATTCTCCTTGGCAAGCTCCTGGCATTAAAGTTGTGAGCGAGGGATTTGGCTGCTGCCTAAATTAGTTTGCTCTGGAGCCCTCCTTCCCAAGCTAGGACAAAAATGGGTGAGCTGGAAGCTAAAAAAACTGTGAGCTAGTTCACGCTAACTCAGCTTAGAGGGAACAGTGTTCGGGATACCTTTTTTTTTTTAAGTGTGCCCTTTCCTCTTTCGAAAAGAGGAGCTTCATTTTAAATTTACGGTTTCTAAATGTCTCGAGCCTTTTCTTCATGTACCTTTCCCCAGATTGGATCACAGACAGTTTATAGCAGCCCCGTAGCTAGGGAATTCTTTGGGAGGGGGCCTTGGGGGCCCCCGCCAGCTAATTAAATGGAAGTACAGTGCAGGTGGTAAGTTGGAGCACTTTGAGGGCAGCCCTGGAGGGAGGGGGCCCAGAAGAAACACAAGGGGGCCGGGCCCCGTGGGCCCCATGTTAGCTACGGGCCTGGTTTATAGTGACCCTGTAGGGCAGTGGTGGCGAACCTATGGCATGGGTGCCAGAGCTGGCACTCAGAGCCCTCTCTGTGGGCACCCGTGTCATCGCCCCACCCAGGCCCAGACCATCATTAAAGTGTCGAATTCTCTGCCAAATAATTTTAAGTAAATGAAAGCATTTGGGATTGCTTTCCTTACTTTGTTTGGATCATCTTAAGTTAATGTATGAGTCGTTTTTTCTAAAGTAAAACCTCAGTATTCAGGTTAAATTGCCGTGTTGGCACTTTGCGATAAATAAGTGGGTTTTGGGTCACAGTTTGGGCACTCGGTCTTTAAAAGGTTCACCATCACTGCTGTAGGGTTTTCAGTACAGAGGTGGCTTGGCCAATACCTGTCTCTGCATAGCGACCCTGGACTGGACTTCCATGGTGGGTCTCCCCTCCACCTACTAACCAGGGCCAACCCTGCTTAGCTGATTTAGTTATTTATAGTCCCTGGGGCTTCCCCTGGAGGCTCACTAAAGCTTGGGCTTGAGCATTTTCTAGAAGCACCGCCTTTTTTTTTTTAAGGGCATTTCAGAGGTGGAACTAAGAAAGTTGAGGGGAATCTTCATTCAGAAGTGTCTAGGGTAGCCCAGAATATAAGATGACATTGCAGATGCAGCCAAGGGGGTTCTACATGCTACTGGCGCTATTCACCCCTTGAATAAGAGGTCCCTCACGCCAAATCGCATCCTGTTAATAACACCACCTGGTGTCCAGCTTTATCCGCCGTCAGCCTGGTAGGGAAATGGGGTGCTATTCAAGAAACAAACCCCAAAGCCAAAGTATTGAATTTCAGCTCATATTATGTATTTTAAGGGAGACTCAAGGCAGATTAGACATGGTGAGCCAGTACAATCAGATCTTCCAAGATCCATGAGCTTAGGCTCGCCTGGACCATCTTAGATCAGGGCTCCCGGAGTGGTGGTATTGTAATTATTCCTACATATACACGATAGGTTTAATTGAAAAGAAAAACGTCTTCGCTGTAGTAGATTAACGAATTTGGGACAGGACCTTTCCTGAGCTAAAGTCCACTATCAGATGCATGAGATGTGTCTTCAGTCGGCGGCGTAGATATCAAGACGCCGAACAGAGGGGAAAACAGTAAACCCTGGGGTCAAAGGTAATGAAACACAAAAGGTCCCGCCTGTGACATAAGAACATAAGAACATAAGAGATGCCAATGTTGGATCAGGCCAAAGGCCCATCCAGTCCAACACTCTGTATCACACAGTGGCCAGAAATACCAGGTGCCATCAGGAGGTCCACCAGTGGGGCCATTAGAAGCCATCTCCATTAATGATTCTGTTGTATATAAGAACGTTGATCAATGACAATTGAAATCATATATGGTCACACAATCTTCCCGGGTATCCTGAACAAATTTAAATACAATATATAATGTGTGTCTATCCCTTCACATAATTTAAATTATCTGAAAAACTGGATTCATATAGACTGTGGGATACAGTCAGCCACAAAAAAAGTATATATAAATGCATTACCAGTGGAACAGAAACAAACTTGATGTCATTTCTCTTGCCTCTGTTCCCACTTCTGACAGTTTAATACAGTTAGATTTCAAAGTAGGCTAGGCACTAGAACACTGAGAACGGAGAGAATTCTCTGGAAGATGGCATTTGTTCCACCAATGCCAGAATGTGTTGTTGTTTTTTAAGAATGAAAAACAGAGGTAAAAGTATTATCCTCTGAGTTCAGGCAACGGATTGATAGGATGTTTAATCTATATAGCTATTCTTGTTTCTAGTGTCCCAGGATCATGTGGGTTTCTACTGGAAAAGAAGAAAAAGAAGAGGAGGAGGAGAGGGAGAGGGAGGGGAAGGGGGAGCTAGCTAAAAGGAAAGAAATAAAGGTTCCTTTAAAAAAATTCAGAGGAAGAAGAAGAACCAAAGACTAACAAAGAGCGGTAACAGCGAAAGAATTGAAGAATGTAGCTGAGGCAAAGTGAGGCGTGACAAAGATAGGTGTGAATGCAAGGGCGGTTGAAGAACTGAGTAGGAGGCAGCTCTCTTGCCTGCTCCAGGCATGTTAACCACTACACCAAACTAGCTCTAGAAAACAAGTTACCAGTTGGGGACCCCGAGGATCCGACAGGATACCTAGTATGACTGTTGGGGGAGTTTTCAAAACTCTAGCAGTGACACCAAATTATTTCAACCAATAATAACACATAAAAGTGAATCTTTACATCTGTTTCAGAAATCATGTCAACCATCATGACAAAAACGTGACAAGATTAGGTCTCCCAGATAATTCTGCTTAAAGGCAGAGTTTGCAGTTGGTGTGGAAAGCACTGTCACGTCATAACTGACCTACGGTGACCGCCCCAGGGTTTTTATAGGCAAGGGACAATACCAGAGGCGGTTTGCCACTGCCTGCCTCTGCCTAGCGACCTTGGATTTCCTTGGTGGTCTCCCACCCAAGTTCTACCCAGGGCCAATCCTGCGTAGCTTCTGAGATCTGGCAAGATCAGGCTAGGTTTGGGCCACATGCAGACAACCCACAACTTTTTGGACTGGGAACTATTTTAGACATATTTTAGTCCTATCACTTCCAGTAGGTGCTTGTCAAATCTGTGGAACTATAACAAACTTAAGAATGCTTAATTTGGGTGAGATGATGCCCGAAATGCTTATAACAGAAGAAAGCGATGGGCATTTTGGCTCCTGCCTTCTTTTATACTGATTCAAGGTCTAATTCCATTTGCCTTTATCATAAAGAAACCTTTATCATCTTTTTTTTAAAAACTGTGCTTCCACATAGAGCTACTACCCTGGTTCAGCATCCGGCATCCAAGATATTGTCTCATCATCATCATCAGGGCTATTTTAGGGCAGGAACGCACAGGAACGGGGTTCCGGCTGGCTCCTGAGTTGGCCACACCCAGCAGGAACTCATTAGCATAATAGGCCACACCCAACAGCAGAAACTCATTAGGGTTGGCTACATTAGGGGTGTGTGGCCTAACTTGCAAAGGAGTTCCTGCTACAAAAAAAAGCCCTCGGTTTGGACAACAAGCAAGGTAAACAGAATAACAAGCAAAAGGTGGGTGTGGCTGAATGAGCACACTTCTGGTAACACTAATGTGCTAATGAGTAGTGTGGTCAGGGTGTGGCCTAATATGCTAATGAGTTTGCTGTTTGGTATAGCCTATTATGCTAATGAGTTCCTGCTGGGCTTTTTCTACAAAAAGAGCCCTCATCATCATCATCATCATCATCCTTTTGATTTATTGATCGCTTTTCCCACACACCTGTGGGCTCAGAGCGATTTACAGTTACTCGTGACTGTTGGACTAACAATAATCTGCATAGATCTCTGCACCATGCACCGTGTAAGCCGCTCAGAGCCCTTCGGGGGTGAGCGGGGTACAAATTGAAAGAATGAATGAATGAATGAATGAATCATGGGCAATGTTCCCTCTAAGCTGTGGAGTCTTGTGAGCAAAACTTCTACTTTGGGAGCTACTGGGTTTAAAGTTGTGAGCAAGCGATTTAGCTACTGCATAGATTAGTTTGCTCTGGAGCCCTCCTCCCTGAGCTGAGACAAAAATGTGACAAAAAACTGTGAGCTGGCTCACACTAACTCAGCTTAGAGGGAACACAGCTCATGGGGGATAGGGAAGACAACATACATAATTGCCAACCTGCCTGATTTTACCCTGCCTTGCTCTGATCTTTCCCAAGCCCGGGTTCCATCCACACAGTGATGAATCTCCACGTTCCTTCCATTGCCGCTGTGTCCTCATCGTAGTTTCCTCTGCAGTTCCCTTGCCTCAGACCATCTGCAGCATCAGCCATTCCCATCCCCAGCACTGGAGGGCTTTTTCAGGATTTCAAAAAGC